GCTAGCTGTTCTGTATTAGTGTGTGTTATGCTAGCTGTTCTGTATTAGTGTGTGTTATGCTAGCTGTTCTGTATTAGTGTAGTGCTATGCTAGCTGTTCTGTATGAGTGTATGTTATGCTAGCTGTTCTGTCCAGTGTTAGACTTGTGGTACGCGATGATCCGGGGTTTGTTTCCCTCCCTGGTTCAATAAAAGTTTAAAATTAAAATCAAAATTAAAACTTCCCCCCATGATGCAGTGCCACCTAGATGCACCAGTAATGGCCTAGATAGGATAAATAGGTATAAATAGGACTTACAGTATGTACACACAATAAGTTAGTGACACACGCGCGCACACACACACACACACACACACACACTATAAACCCCCAGAATTGAGATTTTGTTGATCGTTTTTAATCGACCATTTCTTTGTTCTTTTTTCACTGTGACCTCCGAGGGTCAAAGTTCACCTGGTTCAGGTGAAAGATTAGCTTCAGCTGCTGTTGATCAGAAAATGGAGTCAGACTGAAACTGATTTAAAAAATCCCTGATTCAGTGAACGTCTCACGTCCTGTAGGTTGTGCAGAGGCCGGTTGCAGAAGATAAAAAACATCCAGCGGATCAATAATCAATACAAACTATTACGATTGTGCTTTTTGAATTTTTGCAGGCAGCAGAAAAGCGCAGCAGGGAACTCTGGGAAATGTAGTGCAAGGCAGCAGGCAGCAGAAGATGATGTTCCCTGATCTGATTGGTAAGATTGTCATTTTTTCACAGACTGGTGAGTCAGGTTGGTTTGGTTTACTTACACACACACACACACACACCACACACACACAGGACGCATGCAAACACAGCAGGAAGACACAATGTTGAAAGGCGTCCAGTGATTTGCTGCTGAAGAAGCTTCATCTTCATCCTTGACCTCACTGGTCTCCAGTGGTCAGAGGTCATCAGAGGTCAGTGACCTTGTTCTCTACCAGAGCAGCAACCTGCTGCAGCCGATAAGCCAACTGCATCTTCTGACCTGAACTGTCCTCCTCCAGAGACATGATGATCTGAGAGACAGACAGGGACAGAGAGAGAGAGTCAGGTACAGACAGTATCTGATATCATCATCTGTATGTGTGTGTGTGTGTGTGTGTGTTACCTGGTCGTAGTATTTGTTGATGTACTTGTAGAGTTCATGAAGAGCTACAACACTGTTCATTTCTGAAGCAAAACTCTGAAACAAACACGATGAGAGTTCATGTTAACATATAAACATGTTAACATATAAACATGTTAACATATTAACGTGTTAACATGTTAATATGTGAATCATATCCTGCAGTAAACATGATGTGTTGTGTTCACTGACCCCTGAAAGTTCAGTCAGAGTAGAATTCATCTCTTGATAACATCCTGACGCAGCACTGTGGATATCACTGTAATACCTGTACAACACACACACACAGTAGTACAGCATCCTTATTTACATGTTGGTGTTGGTGTACATGCGTTTCTATGGTAGCTGTGCAGTAGAGAGTGTGTTTCTATGGTAACTATACAGCAGTAAGTGTGTTTCTATGGTGAGTCTCACCTCTCCACCAGCTGCTTGTATCGGGGGATCTCTCTGGCATACAGCAGCTTGTTGACAGGAGAATCCTGATATGACAAAAAAAGCAGTGAGGTCCCACGACCACGACAAAAACACAGATATGTGAACACCATACTGATTCTACAGAGACAGAGAGGCAAAGAGACAGACGGAGACAGGTCATACCCGTCCCACTTTGTGCTCAGAGGTGGTGCAGGAGTCGATGAAGGTCTGAGCGATGACAGACAGGATGGCGTCGATGCTGTCGCTCACCTGAACATCCAAAACAAACTGAGGGTTCTTCAGGATGTTCACCCAGAACCTGAGAGGGAGACTGGAGACAGACAGACAGGTCAGATACACAGGTCAAAGAGACAGGTGAGTCAGGTGACCAGGTGAGTCTCACCTGTTTGTCTTCCAGATGTGGACAGTCTCCGGGTCGTCAATACCATGTTTCTCTGCCATGTCGTCCAGGAAGTCAAAGAAAAATCTGACTGCGATTGGAGGAGGACGTTTTGTACTGAGAATTGCCACAAAGACGTCATCCACAAACTTCTGCAGTGTCCCCTTCAGTGAGACAGGTAGAGACGTCATGTGTAAATGCATGTTACCTTCATGAACAGCAGTCTGCTCAGGTGAATCTCAGGTGTGTTCTTGTGTGTTACCTTCATGGACAGCAGTCTGGTCAGGTAAATCTCAGGTATGGCTTTAGCGCGCTCTCTCTCCCTCATGCTGCTCTTTCTGTGTTTCGGGATTTCTGGATCTTCGCTGCTCTTCACCAGGTGCCACAGACGCAGACCCTCCTCCTCCTCACCCTCTAGCATCGGAGTTTCTATGGCGACACACAGAGATGTCAGTCACACTGATGACAGGTGTTGGTTCTAAGTGGTTCTCTTTGTGCTAGTTTTGGTTTGGTACAGATTTCTCTGCCTTGTTGAGTTGTCCTATTCTGTAGACGTTCTAAAGATTCTGCTTGTATTATTCAGGGCTCTAGTTTGTCCTGAATGGTTCTCTTTAGATCTTTAAATTGATTCATGGTTCTCAAAAGAATAATAGACAGGTCCCTGAGGGTCCCGACATTATCTGGTCTGTGGTCTGGGCTCTTGATGTGCCAGATGGTTTTATATATGGTTCTCTTTGTGTGTATCTTTGTCTTGGTTATGTTTTGGTTCTTTATTTCAAACGTTCTAGGTGATTCTGTCTGTTTCAGTTCTGGGTTCTACATGTGCTAGATAGTTTATTTGTGTTGGTTCTGGGTTCTGTATAGTTTTGATGTTGTAAATGTTTTGGATGGTCTCCATATTCATTCTGGGTTTTTGATTAAATATTTCTCCTTATATTCCAAACATATTATTGTTGTCTTTGCAAAGCTTCTGGGTTCTAGATGTTCTACATGGTTAACTCTCAGTTCTGGATGTTCTACGTGGCTTTGGGTTCTGTATGCTCCACACTGTTGATGTGTCATAGTCTTACTCTCTCCAGTCTGGAACACCTGGTTGACTCCAACTGAACTCTGAGAACGAGGAATCAGAGCAACTGTCGCTCCGTCTGGAACCTGAGGAACATGGAGGTGAAGAAGAACTCAGAGATCAAGAAGAAGAGGAAGAAGAGAACATAAAAAGAATGGTGGTGGACGTAAAGAGGCTTTGTGATTGGTTGGTTGTTTTTACCTTGTAGTGCTGCAGCGTGTTGATTCGTTTCCAGCGACCCTGAACCACCGCTGTGACATCATCATCTGACAGGGTCAGGTGACCCGCCTGACCTGAACGCCATTCTGTCATTGAACACAGAGACATGGGTCAGTATGAGCTGTCTATCAAAGCAGACAGGTGAGACAGGTGAGACAGGTGAGTGTACCTAAGTCCAGACTGTCGGCTGCTGGTCTCTGAGAATACGGAGCTCCTCTGTACACCTGATCCAGGATCTTATCCTTCACCTGCAGACAGACAGGCAAACAGACAGACAGGTCAGAGGGACAGCCGTGACAGCAAAACATGCAGGAGCCATCAGACAGACAGGTACTTACCTGTGTGATGGTGTCAGTGTCAAGAACTTTAACAGGACATGGCTGAACCTCAACACCATTCTTCACCAAGACCGTCAGAGTCTGACAGACAAGTGTTGACAGACAGGTACAGACAGACAGGTAGAGAGAGAGACATGTTTACTCATGTTGTATATGTTATGATATAACCATCAAGTTCTTTGCCTCTACTGTGTTTGTGAATTAACAGTTTCACCATATGATGTTTATTCTGGGATGTCTACCCGTCCACAGTGTGAATGAACACTACAGACTGGTGTGTGTTGCCACGGTTACCATAGCGCAGTAGTCAATGTCCTCTCTCAGCAGGTGACTGTCGTTCAGCGTTCGTTTGGCTTTTCCTGTCACAGCATCGACCGGACCTTTATCCACCTGGTACTTTATAGCTCTGTAGAGCACGTACAGAGGCTCCCCCGCCACCTCCTGACACACAGACAGGTACACAGACAGACCGGTAAGACTGAGACGAATCACAGACTGGTCACAGCAAAGACAGTCAGGTAAAGAGACAGTCAATGCTTTACCTTTAGGAAGGAGTACAGACAGATCGACATCCAGTTGGTCAACATCTTCTCTACAACTGTCTCTGTCCTGAGAGACAGACAGAAAGAGAGACAGACAGGTTAGCGGAGACTAAGGACCAAATCAAAAATCCACAATCCACCAGATCCTGAACCCTGAGACCACATGAGGACTGAAACAGTCTTCATTCTGTCTTGGCAACACTAAGGATTGTTGACTTAATTGCAATTTTTTTTCTGTTTTGGACCATGACCTCCATCACACAGTTGTGTGGTTTACAGCTGCAGTACACCTTGGGATCCTCCGAGGGGAGCTGGAGGACTTTGGTTATTCATGAGTTTCTGTTACAGAGCAGCGATGAGATTTTAAGAGTCTAAAGAAGTCCAGGAGTTCTAGGGTTGAAGGTGTGTTTATCTCACGTACCGGCGCAGCATGAGTTTGGGATTCTTGGCAACGTACTGCAGAACCAGGTCCTGCAGCAGGTTCTTCATGACCTCGGTGAAGTACTCCAGTTTATCATGAAGAGCGATGGTGAGAAGACTTGCGATGTAACCCCGGTCTCTCTGAGAGAAACTCTGCTGAGCCTCCAGAGTGTGGATGAACTGAGACACAGACAGGAAGTGACATCACTCACAGGTTTGAACTAAGACATGGACAGGAAGTGACATCACTTGCACATCCAGTTGTCACTCGGCAACATCGTCCGTCACTCACCCGGGTGAGGAAGAGCCTGTTGTTGAGCAGGTTGTTCAGCTGCTGGAGACCCTGCTCCACAGTCTGTCTCCTGGAATCTGGCAGGTCCAGCTGGCGACTCAACAGCGCCGTCTGTTGGCCAGGGAAGAAAACTCTCTCTGCATATGTCCTGTAGTCCAGCAGGGGGAGTCCTGGTCCTCCGACGTCACTGCTCAAGTCCATCATTTCTGTCATCAGGTCTTCATGAAGAGGAGGAGAAGTCAGGGTTAGGGATAAAACTGATTTGATGTTATTAATTGATTCTTTGAGTTTTTCCATCACATGATCTGAGGTTCATGTCTTGTGTTACCAGGGTCAACAATAAACTCCTCATTTCAACTTTCAAGAACGAGAAATTCACGTAATCTGACAGAAATCTACAGCTGCAGATTGGATGCTGAGTGGGACCACGAGTTTTCATACCAGTGAACTCTTTGCGACACTGATCTCCGACGTTGATCTCCAGAGTTTCCAACTGCAGCAAAACCTTCTTATAATCTCTGAGAGCCTGTTTACTCTTCCTCCTGCAGAGACACAAGTCATCACACCCAACAATTACTTCACTGTCAAGTTCATTAAATGTGGTTTATTATTTTTATTTCACATTAAAGGTCCAGTGTGAAAGAATCTATTAGCAGAAATTAAATATAAAATATCCTAGTGGTGTTTTCATTAGTGTGTTTCAACTAAATTGTACAAATTGTTGTTTTCTTTACCCTCGAATGTTCCATTTATATTTACATACTTTACATTTACATCAGGAGCAGGTCCTCTCTACGGAGGCAGCCATGTTTTTTACAGTAGCCCAGACTGGACAAACTAAGCCTTTTGAGTTTCTATGACTGTTTGGAAGGAGATAGTGAGGCGAGGGGTATTCAGCTACAACACAACACTTCACCACTAGATGTCATTAAATTCTAAACACTGAACCTTTAACAGAATCAGTTCATTCTTCAGTCCAACTGAAGGTTTGAAATTTATTGTTATTGAGTCTCAGTGTTTGTGAAATTGAGATGCAGTCGAATCCAGCGACCACCTCACGTGACTGTAGCAACATCATGTCACTATGAGACGTCTACAGGTGGAGGCAGACAGACAGGTTCATACCTGTACATCAGTATGATGACCAGCACTGACAGGATGATGACAGCCGCTCCCGCACCCAAACCGATCTGAGCAGCCAATGGGACGGGAGACAGCAGAGAGTCACTGTCGTACTGTACCAACCCCAGGTCGACCTGCAGGTTCCCCATGAACACCTGAGAGAGGGAGAGACAACAGATTTGTATATATTGTGTATAACTGTGTTGTATTCAGGTTTTGTGTCCAGGTGTGTGTGTGTGCTACCTTGAGGCTGGGCAGCTCGTTGCTCTCATCCATGCTCGCTGGTTGGATCTCTGGAGGTTCACAGTACAGGTGAGTGTTGTCCAGAGTTTTCACCTCACATTCCTGATCTCCGAGGCGAGCTGTCACTTCCTGTCTGGACATGGCTCTAGTCAGGTCCTGACCCTGAGGGACAGACAGACACGAGGAACTGAATCATTCTGTCTGTTCCTGAACCTGACGTGTCAGTGACTCTTTCTGCTCCTCTTCCAATTTACCTCCACAGCGATCACTCCTCCTGGTTTGAAGCGATACGGAGCTTCTGGAGCATCTCGGTTCAGAGGGAAAAGTTGTGGGTTTGGATAATAAGTAAAGGTTTTACCCTGAGAGACAGACAGGTAGGTGAACAGAGAGACAAGAAGAGAGTTAGACGGGTTACTCCATCAGATGAAGTCTGTGTTTCGGATAGATCAGAGATTTTTAATCATTGACCTTCAACAAAGCAGCTCTGAGACATACAAATCTCAGAGCTGAAGATTCTTCAAGGAGTTCTATCACTCTACTTTATCATGAAGGGACATTACAGACCATTGTCATACTAACATGTCTCAGGTCTGAGGAAGAGGAGGAGTGAATCTAATCACACCCCCCTTGACCCTCAATACCCTGCAGGGACTCAGACAGACAGACAGAGGGCTACCTTGATACTCTCGTAGTGAACTTTGACGTTGTCCAGCTGAAACCACACGCCTTTAACTTTGACCTCTGGGGTCACTGTGGGGGTGGAGCAGGTCATCTTAGAGGAAGACAGAACTGAACAGCGCTCTGACACCTGAGAGAAAGACAGGTGGAGAGAGACAGACACATGTTGAATTCAGTTTTGTACATTATCCAACCAAGATCATCACTGATTGGGCGATTTATATCACCGTTGCCATGGTGCTGTTGAAGACCAGCTGCTGCTTGGCAGAAAGGAGAGCAAGACGTTTTCTCCGTTTCACCCTCTGGACCTCCAGAGGCTCCACCCACACTGATATGATTGGCTGCTGCACCACATCCAGGTTCTTGCCTGTTACGGTGATGACACGCCCCCCTCTGAGGACAGGAAGTCAGCACCTTATTAGGGCATCTAGTTAATCGATTAATTGCTATTGGAGAAGAAGTTCTTACGCATAGAAGCTCTCCGCAGGGATGGCATCAGTGATGACGGGATCTTCAAGGTAATGGAAGGTCACGTTGGGTACGGTCCGCTCCGCTTTCCCGAAGAAAACCCGAACTGTGACTCCACCAGTCTGAGGACTGGAACCAGTCTGACACATCAACTGGGTGTCGTTTACCTCCCCCACACTGAGAAGAAGAGAGGACATGTTAACAAGTCAACAACAGCAGTCCCACTAACCCTGAACCCATAGGACCATAGCACTGGAGTACTGTAGTCCCATAGTACCTCACTAATGTTATTCCGTAGCCCCAGGGTAATGGAGTACTGTTGTCTTGTAGTTCCATAGTACCATAATAACATAGCCCCGTAGTCCCTAAGAACTGGAATACTGTAGTTCCAAAGTACTGTAGTACCATAATAATGTACTACTGTAGTTCCATAGTCACATCGTACCATAGCAACTTAGTTCTGGAATACTGTATATCCCCTTGTAGGGTAGTACTTAGCTTAATAGCGTAGTACTGTAGAGCTGAAATCCATAAGTACTGCAGTATTGTAGTCCAGACATACAGTAATATATAATAATCCCTTAGTACGAGTAGTACCTTAACATAGTTCCATAGTACTGGTATGCTGTAGTCCCGTAGTAGGGTAGTTAGTACCGTGATAACATAGTACTATAGTCTCATAGTTCCATGGTCCTGTGGCCATGTATTACTGTAGTACTCACATGTAGCAGGGCTGTGGACCCAGGAAGGCACTCAGGTCGGACGTCTGTCCAGTCAGCAGCTGATGTCCTCTGATGGTCAGTCTGGTTCCTCCAGAGACTGGACCTTTATCAGGAACCAGGTCCAGGAGCTGAGGGTCCTGAACACAAGAACACAAGGAGCGGGATCAGATCCTTCGTCCAGTCAATCCATCGTTAATGATCTGTGCTGACTGAACGAGCAGGAGAAGGAGGGGGGGTGGAGGAGGAGTACCACTACTCCTTAATGTTTACAAATCCCTCTCACCTGATAGGTAAAGATCTGCTTCGATCTTCCAGGGGGGGTTGTTCCCACTGTAACAAGAACACTCCCCTTCCTCTGCTTCCCACTGGGCTGAAGATCACACACAACCCTACAACACACACACACACACACACACACACACACACACACACACACACACACACAGTGTTACACATTTTGCATTTTCAAATTCTTTGACTGTATGTGTGTGTGTGTGTGTGTGTGTGTGTGTGCGTCACCTGGTGGAGATCTCATAACCTTCAGGTTGTGGCAGACACTGAACACCTGCCACTGTGACCCCGCCCACCACATCCTGATAACTCATCCCCAGATTTGAACCTGTGATCGTCAACAGGACTCCGCCCTCCAGGGGACCAGAGACAGGTACCACCTGGATATACAGACCGGTGGACAGACAGACAGTTTGAATGCTTCCATGGCAACAGACCTCTACCAACAGACAGGCTGGTCGTTAGATTCACCTGTGTGATCTGAGGAGGTGGGCAGGTGTCTGCTGGTATGCTGCTACACGATTGGTTGTAAACACAGCTGGGGGTGGGGCTTCCTGGACACCAGACACAACCATATTCCTGGGGAACCGCCCTACACTGCGAGCAATCCGATTGGCCGGCAGAGCAGTCGTACAACTGGACTGAAGAATAGAAAAAAATATTAGACACACACACACACACACACACACACACACACACACACACACATATACACACTCACACACACACACAGGTGAGGTTCTTACGTTGGAGACCAGGTGAGACGTCGATGCGTCTTTCTCCTCTCCGCAGGTAGACAGGTGCAGAATGCTGGAGCTGACTGACTGTATAGTGAAACTACAGAGAGACAGGTGAAACAGACAGGTGTGAGACAGGTGTTACCTGGTGTGTGTGAGTGTGTGTTACCTGGTGTGTGTGTGTGTGT